CAGCAAACAAATATAGGGATTCAGTTCCACCATACGGTCATATTGAGTTAATCTCACCACTAAATCACAGTACCCCGAGATCGGTGGGTCCAACACTAATTACCTCACAGTACCCCAATATCAGTGGGTCCTACACTAATTACATCACAGTACCCCCAATGTCGGTGGGTCCTACACTAATTACATCACAGTACCCCGAGATCGCTGGATCCAACACTAATTACCTCACAGTACCCCAATATCAGTGGGTCCTACACTAATTACCTCACAGTACCCCAATATCAGTGGGTCCTACACTAATTACATCACAGTACCCCAATATCAGTGGGTCCTACACTAATTACATCACAGTACCCCAATATCAGTGGGTCCTACACTAATTACATCACAGTACCCCAATATCAGTGGGTCCTACACTAATTACATCACAGTACCCCAATATCGGTGGGTCATACACTAATTACATCAAAGTACTCCAATATCGGTGGGTCCAACACTAATTACATCACAGTACCCCAATATCGGTGGGTCCTACACTAATTACATCACAGTACCCCAATATTGTTGGGTCCTACACTAATTACTTCACAGTACCCCAATATCGGTGGATCCTACACTATTTACGTCACAGTAACCCAATATCGGTGGGTCCAACACTAATTAGATAACAGTACCCCAATATCGGTGGATCCTACACTATTTACATCACAGTACCCCGATATCGGTGGGTCCAACACTATAAATACCTCACAGTACCCCAATATCGGTGGGTCCTGCACTAATTACATCACAGTACCCCAATATCGTTGGGTCCTACACTAATTACATCACAGTACCCCCAATATTGGTGGGTCCAACACTAATTACATCACAGTACCCCAGTATCGGTGGGTCCTACACTAATTACATCACAGTACCCCAATATCGATGGGTCCTACACTAATTACATCACAGTACCCCAATATTTATTGGGTCCTACACTAATTACTTCACAGTACCCCAATATCGGTGGATCCTACACTATTTACGTCACAGTAACCCAATATCGGTGGGTCCTATACTAATTACGTTACAGTAACCCAATATCGGTGGGTCCCACACTAATTATGTCACAGTACCCCAATATCGGTGGGCCCTACACTAATTAAGTTACAGTACCCCAATATTGGTGGGTCCGACACTAATTACATCACAGTACCCCAATATAGGTGGGTCCTACACTAATTAAGTCACAGTACCCCATATCAGTGGGTCCTACACTAATTACGTTACAGTACCCTAATATCGGTGGGTCCTTCACTAATTCCAACGTGGGAGACAAATGAAATAGTGTGAGTGCTATTTCTGTTGTAAGAGCATGCTAATAATAGCTAGGAATGCTGTTACAGCAACAGATACAAATATCATCTTTAAAACTAAAAACATTTTTACAGTCTCTACTAACTATGCAAAATAAATGTGGATGCTAAAAATCAAAAATAAAATAAACTGTCTACACAAACTAAACACAAAAATTCTGGGTGACTAAACATTGTAACAAGAATATCCAACAGACAGAGTATTGCTATAAATAGTTTATAAAACCTATATTCAGTATAGTCATCCTCCTGGTTACCCGTATAACAAACATCCAATGATTACGTAATGAGCACAGGCAAAAATCACCAGAGCGAGGAGACCAAAGATCAGTCCAGAGCGAGGAGACCAAAGATCAGTCCACACCCACAGCAGCAGTTTCAAATACCCAGGTATCTGCCAGAAATCCTCCAGCCCCTTCAAACAGTTCTACTATGTACTATGTCCAGTCAGTAAGGCAACAAACACTCATTTTAAACTTTTACTCTCTTTCCAGAAAAGCCAAAAGTATTTACCTGCACACTATCCCAAACCCATGTGTCCATGTAAATAATACAGATATTTAGTACCTCTGCAATGCCCATTAACGTGTATTCATAGTAACCCCCACAATCTAATTACCCTTTAATAGCAAACACAGGGGGCACTGTAAAACTTGCACACTTTGCAAAAACAAAACAAATAATACTATTTCTCCTCCGTGTATGGGAATAAGTGTACAAACTCTACGTGTAACCATAAAATAAATCTTCAGATATTCAATAGGAACTCTCCCTGCAGCAATAAGAAAATGCGTAAACTTTATAACTTCTGTTTCCTTGCAACTATAAGACAATGTCTTATGAGAGAAATAGAAAATGGTACATTCTTCTCAATCCTTCTCAAATTTTTATAATTTCTGATCTCTTAGAAAGCCTCATATGTAGGATGTGTTCTCCAGTAACTAGACTCAGAAAGGGATAACCTGACCATCCCAAGTCTATTATCCAGGTATAAATAATAAAAAATATCCACTTTCCTATAACTATCTCCACTGCAACAAAAAATACTCATCTTTAAACCTCCTACTCTTCCCGAAATTACCAGAAAAATGTCACATTTACATCGGAAGTATTAAAACTCATAATGGTCTTTCTCTATCTCTCTAAAAATAGAAAGATACAAAATGTACAGGGGGAGGAGGGGGACATTCTTCAGGGCTGTGGTGGGTGTCCTCGAACATCTTCAAGCAACAGCCACCCTCTCCACCACGAAATGGCGTGCACCATGTGCCTGCCGGAATCTAGCACCACAATGGCCCCTAGAGAGCCTCGACACAATATTTCGAGACTATTGGACCAAACTCGAATATCGTATGAAGACATCCAGAGACATACAGCTTCAACTTACTGCTCCCCGGTCTTCACCATTGGGCGCTGTAGCGGAACGCCAATATTAAATCCACGAATTCCGCTGGTTCAGGAAGTAATCCACAGTCAACCGCTGGAAAAAGCAAGGCAATATCCCAAATCTCCCAGTAACCGGAGAGAGTCAACTGAGGTCTTTATTTTCAGCTCCACAATTTATACAAGTCCCCATGCAAGGGGTTTCCTGAGTCCCCTCCCAGGGGCATTCCCAGAGGGGACTACATGGGGGACTTACAGTACAGGGCATTTCTCCCATCAGGCACTGCTGCACGAGAGGGATCCTCCCACAGGAATGTACCGTTAAGTGGATTATCCCTCCTGTGCAGCAGAACCGACAATTTACATTAAAATGTATAACTCTTTGAATATACGGTCTATTTGCACGAATGGACGTTCGGTAGATAGCTGGGGTCTGAGCGCATCATTCGTGAGATTACCGCTCAGATCCCAGCTAAAACAACCGAACGCCGCACGAAAAACACATTCATTAAAACACATGTTCAAAAGACCGATTGCATGCTAGGGAACATAATACCGAACTGCCCGGAACTCCCGAACGGCCTGGAAGCTCAGCGGTGTTCCCGCCGTTGAGTAGCCGTTTTTAGTACCATGCGCTCGACGACCAAACACCGCTGAGGGAACAAAGGATCCAAGATGGCCGACCGCCGCATGGTCGGTAGTCGAACGACGGCCACCTTGGAGAGCCTCTAATTACCGATTGCAACATTGTTGCAATTGGTTAACAAGCGCCACACGTCTCTTAGTGTGTGGGCTATTAAATGATAGTTCATTCTGTTCACGAACGGCCCGCAAAGGTGCTGTTCGTGAAACAAAAGGAAATCAGCTATCTACTTTCGGCATAGAGCCAATGCAAGTAATACAGTGTTACACAATCACATTACATTATGCTCTGGAACACACATATCCCGAAAATCATATAGGCAACCCTTAAAGTGACAACACTTAAATAATGTCCAAGTGGCTAGGTTTGCCACAGGCGCATCTCAAAACGGAAATACGGCTTCCCTCAAAGCTCTGAGGGAACGGTGATCATATGGAGCAGCGCAACCCACGGATGATTCTGAGTAGGCGAATGTGGGGCCAAAGCCGTGTTTGTAGGAGGGGGATCCACAAATATAACTCATCGGGACTCTGGTAACTGCATGATGCCAATACCACTCCAGCAGCACGGGAGAATCCACTTCTGCCCTCCTTTTATCTGGACCACATGTCTCAAAGGGACATTCTCTCAAGGGGTTTCCTATCTGAAGGGCAAAGTCTTACCCATGCAGGGTGTAGGTTGACTTGAGCTTCTCTAATGGGCCTCGACTTGTATGATCCCCAACTGTTTGGGACAGGTCACTGCAGCTACAAGTTAATCACCTGCTTATATTACGACTCACTGCATGTGTTTAGATTCCTCTGTTGCTATTTACTTTTGCTTTAATGGTACATAACATGCATCCTAAACAGCTACGGTTTACTATAGGCACGTTGTCTCCTCTTGTTACACAGTCAGTATTTCACATAATAAATACATGTTTTCATAGCATATTATGCAATTTTAAAAAAAAAAGACAGGCCACTAGAGGCTGGATTAACCCTAATGTAAACATAGCAGTTTCTCTGAAACTGCTATATTTACAGCAGAAAGGGTTAATCCTAGATAGACCTGGCACCCAGACCACTTCATTGAGCTGAAGTGGTCTGGGTGCCTATAGTGCTCCTTTAAAAAACACAATTGACATTTTCTGCCATTCAGATGGTTTTTTTCCGTTACCCCTGACGTATACTCTCTTTTTAACAATAATAAATGCTTCCACATGTATGGCCTCTACTTTACTTAATAAAATAAAACTAACAGCTCTGTAATATATAGACTTCATGCAGAGTAAGAAGCCACAACACAGTAACAAAAACATAAGAAATACACACTTTAATTTCCTTTAAACAATCACAAAAATACACCATGACAACACGTATTCTACATGCAAAAATAGCATAATTATATAAAAAAAAGTGTGCATTGTTGGGAATATTCCATTTCAGACCAAGAAGGTAAAAATCTGACCGTCCCAATATCATTCCTGAACGAGGATCTGAAGCTCTTTATGAAGATCATTGCAACATGCATCAGTGGAGTCCTCCCGGACCTTGTCGACCCAGACAATGTTGGATTTATCCCCAGGAGAGAAGCGAGAGATAACACCATCCGGGCACTGAACATCATCCACGCAGCCAGCTCCTCCACCCCACCACAATGCCAATGCCTATAAGAAGTCGTTAACCAGGCATCTTCTAAATGCAGCCAAACTGCTAATCATGGCCAGTTGGCGCTGCACCAAGGAACCTACCCTCCAACAGTGGATGGACAAGATTGAAAAGATACGCAAGATGGAAATGCTCACAGCATCCGTGAAGGGAAGTACGGAACGCTACCTGCAAATGTGGACCCCTTGGATTGACTACATGACCCGACGTTCGACCTAAAACCTAAACCATACCTGCACCCTGGGTACAAAAATGTGACAGACAGGAAGCGAAGATATTATCTCAAGGCCCAAGGCTAGCGCCTCATCAGCACGAGGTGGGTGTAGCTTGATCCGTGGTGGACCGGGGGGACATCGGGGTGCCCCCCCTTACCTACCCCTCACCAGCTGTTTTTAAAAAGAATGAATCCTCTGAACAACATCTGTGGCATTGGACTCATTAATACAAGATCTGCAACTATTCCTTATTAAACAGTAATTCAAATCATTGACTTTACAGGTTTTACACTCGTTACTCGTAACATCCTCACTAAAACATACTCTCCCTGCAACAATAGGAAAAGTTATTATATCTACAATATCTACTCTCTTTGTAGCAACGATAACATTTAGTGATTATACGAATCTTAGTAAGCATTGCTGAACGTGTAAATTTAAGCAACAATCTGCTCTCCTTATAATTATAGAATGAATGCCTCAATATTATAATGTCTCCCTTACACTCAACAAGGACAAAACCCGGTCATTACAACATGTACCTTTCTCACATCAATAAGAAAAATATCTCAAATTTACACCTTCCACTATGCTCACGATGAGAAGATCTGAAATCTACAATGTTTTTTATAGTAACTTAAAGAATCAGCTTAAACAGAATGAGTTCCACACATCCTGTAACAGTAAAAATATATAAATTTACAAATCTTCCTCTTATTCTTTGCAAGTCTCAGCTATCCTTCCGTATTCATCGATACGAATTCAGCTCGCCTTGTACCAATTAGAGAGACTCAACTTCTACAACTCTCTCTTAAACAGAAAGAAAGTAATCCGCAACTTTAAAAAACTGTCCTTAAACCAATAAAAATGTCATCTTTACACGTCCTATTCTCCTGGGAAATTTAAAAAGTAAAAAAAAGAATGACTTTAGAACATCTAGTCTCCTTCCTACATCAACAAGAAAATCTCTACTAAGAAGCGATCTCAACTTTCTAATAGTAGTTCTCTTTGTGACAATATAAAAGCTTTATAAGTTAACTGTATAATTTCTGCTTTCCTGGAAACAATTAAACGTTATCTCAATTTACAGACTTTAATATAAAATAAATAAATTACCTCAAATAATACGAAAATGTCTCCGATTTACAATTCCTTTCAACATTGAGATAAATAATATTTATTTCTGCCTTTCTCTCTTTGCATTGTGTTTGCTTCTACCTCGCTTGCAATAACTAGAAGCCGCATGTTAATTTGCCATATTTGTCATCTGTCATTTTCCTGTATCTAATTACACTATCGACCTTATCATTTTTAAATGAAACATATATAATCTCAGATTAGCAAACTCTACTTCCCTGGCAATATTAAAAAGATTTTTTTTTTTTTTTTAAACTGCTTTGATTAGAATTTGTACTCTACAATGAAATGAAAAGTGTTGTCTGTACAATTTTTACAGTAAGAAAGTCGTACATTTTTCATTTCTGCTCTACGTGTAACAAAAGGAGAACTCGCTCAAACTTTTTCTTCTCATCAGAGAAATGTACAGACTCGACTTTGTAACTCTCACAAAAAGAGCAATGCTCTGTTATAATGTATACTTTCTTTGTAAGTATGCAAAAGCCTTACCCGAAGAACTTATATTCTCTGAACACAAGAACCAGACTCAAAGAGAGGACAGAGCTTCACGGCAGAACAGAACAGACACCATAATTACGGACCTCCAAAGAAACTGCCGCATATCTGGAGAATATCCAATTTATTACACAACATTGATCTGAGATACAGCTTCTGTTCTCCTCTAGACATCAAACCCTATCAATAGATGCCCTTCTTTTACTTCTTACTTTTCCCCATACCCACACGGCATTATAGGAAACTCTGATAACCGCGACTCACCCGTCTAGCAGCTTTGAAAGGGCACAGTCCAGATTCTACACTAATGGGAAGCAGAACCCAGAACCTAATGTGGGGGCTACCGCTGAAATGAGGGGTATCAGCTCTCTGTTACACCAAGATGGCAAACTGTGAAGGCCGTGAGGCTTGTAACACGATGCTCGGGGCCAGCAGACCAGATTCTTAAACTCACCCCTGGTTTCAGGGCTATCAGGTCTATAACTTAAAATCTCACGTCCTTAAAATCTCATCTCTGATATTTCTTAGGGCACTGAGACTTACCCCACTGCCACAGGATTTCTCAGGACATACCATCAATCTGACATGGGACCTATCAAAATTAGTCCATTTTGTACCTGGATGAGGTTGGGACTCTGATCTCGGGACTTGATTCATAGAAACATAGAAACATAGAATGTGACGGCAGATAAGAACCATTCGCCCAAATAATATGCAAGAAATTGTCTAGCTCTACTCATTGTCTAGCTCTACTCATTGTCTAGCTCTATGCAGTTATTAATTAACTTCAATACTGTAATTATCTTTATGGGTTAACTCCACCTCTAGTGGCTGTCTATCAGACAGCCACTAGAGGGACTTCCGGGTCATTAGTCGACTTTTGATCGCCTAACTGACTTTAGACGTCCTCACGATGCGCATGAGGACTTCCAGTGTCACCCAAAACCCTATAGGAAAGCAGTGAATAATTCTTCCCTAGTAGGTAATCCTAATGCGAGCGCGGCCATTGCTGCACATGCGCATTAGGTCTCCCCCGCTGAAGTTTGAGGGACATTGGCACTGGACTGAGGTAAGTGGCAGTAGGGGTGGGGGTCACGAGGGAGGGGGCCACTATAAAACTTTGTTTCCTGGCACTATAGTTTCCATTTAAGTACAAAATGTTTGACACAGCGGTAGTAAAGGTATCCTGGCACTTCCCTTAAAGATACTGGTAATCTTTAATACTTTGTTGTTTCCTTTAATTATTTTTTAGGTGATGAGCAGGTATTCCTCTTTTATTACGATGTTAATTATCGACAAACAGTTTAGTCTTGATACACTCCTCGTTCATCGTGCAAGTCATTTATTTGTACTTGCTAAATGACTGTATCCATTGCCCTTTAATCTATATGTATCTTTCATTTATTTATATTTTTACTCTTTGTGAATAATCACGCCACCCCACTGTACTACATCACTAATGCCTACAACGATTGCATCATACATATATCACAGTAAAAATTCCATTTGAAAAAAAAAGCAGACTCAAAATTGTAACGGCGGAAATGTACATCCAAATATTTTGTTATTTTAATCTCAGTGGTTTGTTATTTACCTGTAGTATGACAAAGAGATTCATATTACGTGTCCCATTGATTTGGGATTGACCCGTTAGTTGGTGCGCAATATCAATTGAAACAGTGCACAATATATCTCTCGGCAATAAAAATATTATTGGAAAAATATATATTGCAAGATCAATGTGCGCTGTTTTAATGGATATTGCGCACCGATTAATGGGTTGTTTGTTGGTAATTTGTTTACTAGGGTTTTATTTGGTAGCTGTATTTACTTAGTTGTTAATTAATTAATTATAATTATTAATTAGTGATACAGCGAGTGATTATATAGTTACACTTGCATTTTAAAATCAGTGCTGCTCCATCTTATTCATTCTTTGGTGTTATAGTTGATTTGGGTTCGAAATATACATGAAACCTATACCCCACTGTATATCTGAAATCTAGAAAATACAACAAAGATATAAATGGTAATGAGGGACAATTATAACAGTACACTCAGAACTGTGCTCAGATGGCTACTAGAGGTGCCTCCTGGGGCAGTGCTGCACAGTGATTTAATGCATCTCTATGAGGAGATGCTGACTGACCAGCGCTCACATTTAATTCTGCTCCCGACCCACATCCTTGACTGATATCATCACAATTGACGATCTCCACCAATCCATTGCTTTCCTTATAAGGTGAATTTTCTAGTTACGGTATTTAAGGGGGATAAGGGGGGAGGGAACAGGTGAGCTAACGGTTTTTAACACTATAGGATCAAGAATACTGGTTTGTGTTCCTGACTCTATAGTGTTCCTTTAACCTTCAAATAAAGCAGAGGCTAATAATGAGGAATAGGGAAATAAGAGATATTTTTATATTTAGATATTTTAAAATATATTAAAACAGACAATCAGGTAAATGGAGTGCCGAATGATGCAGAGAAGAGAGAAACATCTATACTACAATGCCTTTTTAATCTTTTTATTTAACATTTACATTACTATATCTTTTTTACTTTTTTTTAAATTTATACTTTACGATGGCAACTCTGGAAATCCTCTGCCGGTATCCACACATGATGATTGTTAGCACATTTTACTCACTCCCAAAAGTGTTTGGACAGTTTGCTGACGGTTGAGCTGTCAATGAACCGGCATTGAATGTATTCATTAAACACTGAATGAAACTGAATTGTAAACCAAATGCAAAATTTAGACAAAAATAACTGATTTTGAAACATTTTGCCTACGTTTTGCATTTTATTTTTTAGCACTTTAGTTTGGTGTTTAGGTAATAAACCTCTCGGTTTATTTTACTGAGGGATATTTTAAACAATGTCAGTGATGTTCAAATACACTCACAGCTATTACGTAGAATTAGGGTTTTATTTTTTCAAATTTCAATACAAAGCTGACTAGGAATATGGTTGAGTTGCATAATTTTCCCAGTTCACCTATTTAGGCCTTAAATTTAAAATTCACTTTGAATTCTCACATTAGAGAATAAAGCTGTGCATTTAGAAATCCATCAATTTATTTATTTTTTTGCCAAAGATTAGCTGTTAAATCAGTCTAAAGCAACCAAACAGAGCTTTTCGTAAACGTTACATTTGAATGAAAAGTAAGAGAAAATAAAAAGGTTTAAATGAGCAATTTTATTTGATACATTCAGGCAAGCTTAATAACTCAGCGCATACAATTCAAATCAGCTAAATGTGCTGTTGAACAAAAGATCAAGCTGCTTAGCATAAAAATAAGAGAGTCAATTAGGTGATAATGTCAAATGCACAAAATATAAATTCTCATAAAACACAC